TTTCGTGATGCGATCATATTAACGTAATTTTTCCCCAAAGTGTATTCCAAGATCGATCCTGCAAATTGTATAAAAAGGTGATGTCCCGGTTGGTGAATCTATTTATCCGCCTTGTGCAAATAAAAAACAAAAAATAAGTGAAACATTCAAACTTACCATAATTTACATCATCGATATTATCTCCAATCAAACAAACGAGTAAGTATATTCCGTAAAGTATTATTATAAGGTATGTTGGTTTTATTGCTCGGCTAGCTTCTTGAAACATGTCATCACGATGTTAATCGATTTTCCCGCCTCTATAGATGTTTCAAAATAAAACGGATACACCACTTTTCTTGTTATACATCAGCATTCTGATCTTCGCCGAGAAAATCTTTGACTATCATCACGCGAATAATAGGCGCAGTGAAATTATTCACATGAATCTCATCACATGCCTTAACATCACGCTACTAACTAACGGGAATCTGGAATTTTTTTTTTTTTACACCAACACAATCTTAGTAGTCATGTCTAACGTACATAAATATTTTGATCGTGCCTCTGAAGAATGGGAAATTCGAGACTTTCTAGAGAATTGTGATATGGAACCGTTTAAACAAAAAATCGACTGTTACACTAAAAGTCTCGAAGAAATTGCTAATAATGAGGGAGGCAGTAGGGAAAAAAGGGCGCAACTACTGCTCAATAGATACAAGAAGAAGGCGAGTATAAGTGCTTTTTGGGCCTTTTATGTTAGAAATGTAAAATTTATACAATAAGGCGAGGATCTCGTTCTGTTCTGTTCTGTTCTTGATACTGGCCTTGTTGGGGCGCAGGCGACTTTCTAGGTCGTTCTGTCCTGTTCTGCGTTCAAGTTTCTAGCTTACCTAACACTGGCTCTGCTGGGGCATGGTCGACTTTCTAGGTCGTCCTAATGTCTAAAGGCTTCTAGCTGATCCAGCGGATATTGTTCCTTTATATTAGGGTAATGGAAACGACCGTCAAATTGCAAAAAGTTGGAACAATGAAAGATCTCACAGCAAGGTATATCTTCATCAACCAACAATTACCTGTGAGAATATCAGCGGGTTTAACGGGCTTATAAGTATGAACAAAAATGGAATTTTCGCTTCTGGATCAACTATATCTAAAAGGGATCGTGAAGAAGTATGCATTTTATTTTATTGAAGTTTAGAATCGACGGAACGGTGATTTTCTAATAGAAACCAACTCTTTCTTCATGTATTTAGTCCGATGATGATGATTTCCTACCTGTGCCTATCCGTCAACAAAAGCGAAAAAAAAATCTATCATTATCAAAGAAGGTTAGAATATAACAATAAGCTTTTGGTACTTTGAATTTTGTGATGAGCATTTTTTAATGACTTTATTATATCTGCAGGATAAAAAATCGGATGTCTCTGTTAAAGAGGTGTGTATAAAATGCAACCTATGATAAGGATTTGTTCACACAAATTCTCAAAAAATTTTCTTGTATGAACAGACCAAAACCATCGGCGAGAAAGAAGAAAACGTGTATAACGATGTTGATGATTCATTCATCAGCAATAATGGAACCATTGATTTAGCCGAGAGTTCTGATTTCTTGAAAGATAATCCATCATCATCAAGTTCAATTGAAACCGCACGAGATTCCTTCAAATCTGCTTCATTTGACAACAAGCCACACTCAGAAGAGGGCGAGATAGAATCAATTGACATAGATCAAAGTGAAGAAGAAATCAGGAAGCTCACGCAGGTATTTTATTATTTGCTAGGTTATTGCTTTTTAATTGTATGTTCATTTCTATTTAATTTTCTAGGACGAAATGGACATTCGCAATAAATTACTCGCTATTTTGTCGGCACGAAAAGAAGAAGACAAAAAGTCCGGAAAAGATTACACGTCATCTATATCACTTAACAATATTATTGATTTATCCAATGATAAGGTGTCCGAAAGAGTTAATAAATCATTGGACGAAAGACAAATTGAATGGCTCAATATAGTTCTCAAACAAAAATCCTGGAAACAAACAGATGAATTTAAGGAATACGTAAATCAATTCACCGAAGATGTTTGTGATAGAGTAAACATTCCATATATGGTCCGCAAGTCTTTTGTAATTCCAATTGAATCATTCAATTCCTTTCGTCACGAGGGCCATGACGTCGCACAACGGATTTTAATACATTTGTAAGTGTTAATTTAAAAGATTTAACAATCACAGCATAATACTTAAATAATTTTTCTATAAATAGTTCTGAGCGACTTGAAGCACCAACAAGAATTGAAAACAAAAGCCTCGATTATGAGAGGACTTATTCGATAGATACAACAATATATATTATAAATCGATTATTCCGCATGCACCAAGATGTGGTCGAACTTGTATGGTAAGTATCAATTTGTAAAATTCGAAATGATAAAGCTAATTTGTTAATATTCTTTTTTGTTTTATTTAGGATTGAGTTAACAACCCCCCATACAAAGCATCACAAATAGGGTTCCTCAAAATCGAATCGAATCAAATATTTAAGCAATTTGAATTTGATTTGATTTTTTCAAATCGAATCG